CATCTTTACACTTTTTGAACTGTAAAAACTTAAACATACGTAATTTCCAGTTACTGTAATCTGCTCCGTCAAATATTGGTATATTGATATCACTATTCTTCGCCGCCATTACCACGTGTGCTCTTTCTTTGTTTTCTTTAATTATTTAACTCTTTTCGCTTCTTGTTTTTTTTTTTTTCTTTTTACCACGTTCTGCTACCATGTTAAGACAAAAAATGAAGCATTACCTTTTGTTTTCTTTTGTTCTTTTATTACTTAACTTTACTGACTAGCGGAACTTATTTACAACATTTCAAATTGACGAACCTCTGACGACAGAACACTTTTGTCAGTGTTGCCAGATATAGCTGTACAATAATTAACAATATAAATGTACAATAATTAACAATTATAAATAAAGTAAAATTAGAAAGATAGCATTTTAAAGTTGTAAAAAGAAAACTTATTTCAATAATTATCATCACGTAATATTTGTTTAATATTGCAAAATAATTACAGTAGAACTTGATTTAATGTATTTTTACTTGTCCCATCAAATTTTCATAAACCACAATATTAATGTTAAATACATTTAACATTTTTTGATTTTGCATATTTTTGGAATTTAATGCATCAAAACTCAAGCCGTAAATGAATTTTCATCTACCATAATTGGATATATTTTTTGAAAAAAGAAGTGTACTATATTTATTGTTATCATGATCGAGTTATAAAAGTTCAACAAATTATTGAGATCATTTTATCATGTTGTGATAATATGAGTATGCCATATTTTATAATTTTGTTCTTTGATAACCTACCAGATTTGCAGGTTAGCATAGCAAGCAGACTAAAGCAATATCACATCAGTTTTCAAAGTTCACTATGGATTCTGCAATCCAGATAGAGACACACCAAATTCTCAATAGGAAACAATTAAACTTTTAAAACATATATTTTTATTATCATGAAGTATTAGCCTATTGATTCATTAGTGAATGTGACACTCTTACATATTTAGGCCATGGCACATAATTGTGGTTGGTAACAGGGACATCTATACATTGGGAATACTATAAAAAAAGGGCAACCTGACAACAAAAGGGGTATGTGCCTCTTTTGTTGTCAGGTTGCCCTTTTTTAATTTCCAAGGGAGCTCTACAGTTTCATTTTATTTTTAAATTACTTACTAATTTTTATCACAGAAAACTTTTAAATGAGAAAATTAAAATAAAAACACACACAGGTATCTTCTTGCATAATGTATGTATGGTACAGTACCCTTTTTATAACTTGTGTCCCTTATATAGGCTAGTCTTTTTTTTATAGTCTGTGGGTGCCACAGGCTGGCAGCCACAATTATGCCAATGAATGACCCTAGATGAAAGCACAAAATAATCATCTAGCACTGATAATTTATGTGAAAGAAAAAGAGTATACAATAAAAACAATGTATTAAATATAAGAAAAAATTTTGTCCTATATAATAAACAAAATCCAAATACAAAAAATTTTTACTGAAACAAAGACTGTTTTTGATTGTGCAAGGTCCTAAGCAAGCATTGACTTAAAACTCTTTTTATATATATTTAACTTATATAATAAAAAGTTTCATATTAAAATCAATTATTATATAATTTGGATGAGATCTAGGTTTCTACCTAGCACAGGATTCCATACTAGCTAGTTTGTCAACATTGGATAAAGCCTGAATATTAAAAAATATATATTTATAGTTGTAAGTGATATAAATGTATATGTCCAAAGTCCTAAAAATATCCTGAGCAAAAACCTAGGTTACCTCTAAGCCTAAAACTACCACTGACTGAAACATTTTATAATTATAATTTATTTTACAAATAATTAAAATAATAATAGTTTCATAATCTTTCTGCTTTACTATTTCAATTACATCTAGAAAATTTAAAAATTAACATAAAAAATTTGGCTTGATTATTAGATTAGAAATATGATTTGAACTTAGTTTAGGTAATGTAAAAAATTATTTCTGTTTGAGTAATTCAATAAACAAAATGTTTTTCATTTGCAACTTGATCAGTATTCATACATAAATAATTTTAAATATAAAATCAGTATAAGGTAAATTGGTTCACTTAAAAATCAATTACGAATTTATTATTTTTCCCAAATATAATTTTTATGACCATCAATTTTTCTAAATCAGTAATAATCTGGCTGTCATGATTGATATTCTTGTCAATTTTATGAATAAAAATAACATAAAGTGAGATATAATAAAAGACTACTCATTACTTAAAGTACTCATTTATCAAACAAGGTTACTTATACAACAGAGCATGAAAGAATTAAGACAAAACAGATTTACAGGGGCTGATTTTTATTACTTTTTAACTGAATTAGTTATAATGCAAATGGTGAATTAATAAAGTGTATTAGTAATTTGATACAAAGTAGCTTTAATTTATGATTTATATAATTAATAAACGTTAATAATCATAAAAAACGTGTAAAATTGTCTATATATTTGAGAAAAAATAAAATGATTATATTACTGGTATATAAACATTTTATATGAAAGAATAACCAACGATATCTTCAGAATTATTAAATTCAAAGATGTTTCGAGGCATTAATGTAAATAGAAATAAGGAAAAAACATCAAATTCTCTTCTTCCAAGGCCGTCACCACCCATAAATCAAGAATGAATGTCTGAAAAACGTAATTTAAACGAAAATATTCTATATTTATATATATATAAAAACAGAAAATTTTCAATCATTACCCGATACAACAAGAGCCTCATTAGGTCCACAAGTAACAAAACCGATCATGATTTTTCACTACATACAATGTCCGACTCCATAAACTGAAATATCGATCCACGTGGGTGTTGACCACGTGGTTAACGAAGATTTTAATATTTCAAAATTACCGATCGTATATTTTTCATCGTTAACACATATTTTAAAAAATGTCAAATCTTACATTGTATATTTTTAAGATAAAATTCAAACAGTTGTTTTTGATTTAATTAATGAAATAGAACATGCCGCGCCATCTTTTATTAAATTTATACTTAAAGGTAATAAATAACGAAATAAACTCGAAGTCATTTTTAAATTAATATATACTTTTAAATTAGTTTTAATAATTACTTAATAATTTTTATTAACACTATATAAAATAATTAGTATTTTTGTTTTATTTTCAAATAAAGTAACGCGTTTAACGTATGTCATCACTTTCGCATTATAAAATTAATTTTAAAATTCAAATCTCGAGCTTCGATCCTCTATGAAAATTATTATTATTATCAAGAGCGAAGTAATAAATGATTATTTTAAAAATTACATTTAAAACGAACGCATATAAAATTTTATTATGCAAGTTCCAGTCAGTTTATAAACAAATAAAAAAAATTCAGCAACAGAGTAAATAAAACTGCGTAACGATTTTTACAATTGTCGTCACGCAGTAAATATTTTATTTATTTAAAAGAGAAATTTTTATTTTTTATTGAGTGAAAGTCACGAAGAATTGAAAATAATTCAGCAGTTACGTACCAGATGGCAGTATAATCGGGCCTTTCCATAGTAAATTTTTTTATATTTTTTTAATTCTGAAAGAGATATTTCTCAGATGAGCCGCTCCGTGATCGCTGGCAAACCAAGTAACGTATCAATTAATTCTGTTTGATGCTCATCTGAAAGATAAGTGAGGCTTTTATGTCGAATAGAGTCACTCCCGAAAGAGAAGTGCTTGCGGGAAAAATGGCGACTGATATCAAAGGAAGAAATAGTATACAAATTCAGAAGTTTGGAGGTAAGCTTCAATTTATGTAATTTTTCTCAAGTAAAATATTTATTTTTTTTACTTGATTCTATTGATTGATTACTTAATAAATTTTCCGAAGACTTTAATATAATAATTGATATTTAATTAATCTTTTAATTTTATTTTTAATTATTAAAAAAATCTATAAAATTTATTTTTCGTTTCGCGAGTCGTGATTTTTTTCATTTAAAAAAATTTAAATATAATTTTGCGTTCTCAAAATTATTCGAATTTTTCAAAAATGATTTTAATTTTTTAATATTTTATTCGGATTAAATTTGTTAAATTAATAAAACTTTTAATTAATTTTTAAAAATTTATCATCATAATCGTCATCGTTATCGTCATTTATCACCATAAACAATATGATATTATAAAAATTCGATAAACAATAGCATAGACTCAGAAATGAATTTTGCTATTGTCATTATTAAACTCTGAAATAAATTAACATTGGATATTATTATTATCATCGTCATCAAATTTTCAAATAAATTATTATTATTCTTTTACTGTCATCATAATGAGTAATTGATTAAAGTGTGGAATAAATTAATTGTTATCAATATTATCTTCACAAATAATAGATTGAACTTCAATTAATTTACGTCATCCTCATCATGAGCTATAGGTTGAATATATTCGGAATAAATCCATTTTTATCGTCGTTATTATCACTAAAACAATAAATGAAACTCTACAATAAATTAATATTCATTATCATTATTATCATCGTCAGACTCCGAAATAAATGAGTTGTCCATCATCATCATCATCATCATCACAAAACTATAGAATAGACTAATATTCATTCTTAATCAATTAGTCAATCAATCGATGATGATCATCGTGTCATCATCTATCGTAGTGTCTATCGAACTGTGACGATGATGATGTTAAAAATGAATTTAATCCGAATTTCAATCTTTTATTTATCCAATTTTACGATTATATATATATATATATATATGCACACCTTATAAACATTTTATATGAAAGAATAACCAACGATATCTTCAGAATTATTAAATTCAAAGATGTTTCGAGGCATTAATGTAAATAGAAATAAGGAAAAAACATCAAATTCTCTTCTTCCAAGGCCGTCACCACCCATAAATCAAGAATGAATGTCTGAAAAACGTAATTTAAACGAAAATATTCTATATTTATATATATATAAAAACAGAAAATTTTCAATCATTACCCGATACAACAAGAGCCTCATTAGGTCCACAAGTAACAAAACCGATCATGATTTTTCACTACATACAATGTCCGACTCCATAAACTGAAATATCGATCCACGTGGGTGTTGACCACGTGGTTAACGAAGATTTTAATATTTCAAAATTACCGATCGTATATTTTTCATCGTTAACACATATTTTAAAAAATGTCAAATCTTACATTGTATATTTTTAAGATAAAATTCAAACAGTTGTTTTTGATTTAATTAATGAAATAGAACATGCCGCGCCATCTTTTATTAAATTTATACTTAAAGGTAATAAATAACGAAATAAACTCGAAGTCATTTTTAAATTAATATATACTTTTAAATTAGTTTTAATAATTACTTAATAATTTTTATTAACACTATATAAAATAATTAGTATTTTTGTTTTATTTTCAAATAAAGTAACGCGTTTAACGTATGTCATCACTTTCGCATTATAAAATTAATTTTAAAATTCAAATCTCGAGCTTCGATCCTCTATGAAAATTATTATTATTATCAAGAGCGAAGTAATAAATGATTATTTTAAAAATTACATTTAAAACGAACGCATATAAAATTTTATTATGCAAGTTCCAGTCAGTTTATAAACAAATAAAAAAAATTCAGCAACAGAGTAAATAAAACTGCGTAACGATTTTTACAATTGTCGTCACGCAGTAAATATTTTATTTATTTAAAAGAGAAATTTTTATTTTTTATTGAGTGAAAGTCACGAAGAATTGAAAATAATTCAGCAGTTACGTACCAGATGGCAGTATAATCGGGCCTTTCCATAGTAAATTTTTTTATATTTTTTTAATTCTGAAAGAGATATTTCTCAGATGAGCCGCTCCGTGATCGCTGGCAAACCAAGTAACGTATCAATTAATTCTGTTTGATGCTCATCTGAAAGATAAGTGAGGCTTTTATGTCGAATAGAGTCACTCCCGAAAGAGAAGTGCTTGCGGGAAAAATGGCGACTGATATCAAAGGAAGAAATAGTATACAAATTCAGAAGTTTGGAGGTAAGCTTCAATTTATGTAATTTTTCTCAAGTAAAATATTTATTTTTTTTACTNATAAATCCGTGAGACATGTACCGTACGTTTAAAAAAACTTAGGACTATTAAGAAAATAAGTCAAATTTATAATTATATTTTAATTATAAGCATTGATAACAAATATATATTTTGTTAAAAACATATGTTATTAATGCTCATATAAGTTACACTAACTGTATGATTCTCTCTACTCATTCTATGCATTAATTGCTCAGAATATTTCATACATTCTCATCTTGAAATGTCAGCATTTAATATATTTTAAATAATTTTTTAAAAACTCATATCAATTGCAGCGTAATATAGATTTATTTATTCCCAGATCATATCAATCCTGTAGTAACTCAGTTTCTGAATTTTTTTATAAATTTACATAAATTTTATCATGACGTTTTATATTTTACATTAATTTATCAATTTTGATGCAAATGAATAAATCTTTTATTTTCCGAAAATTATTTTATAATCTGATTTGTTTTCATTGGATTTCACCGTCAAGAATGGTGCTGATGCGATCGTTATAAAGTTTCTGCATCGATACGTTCAATTCTTTTTATCAGCTACTGACCTAGCTGTAAATTTATAAGATTTTTATAGCAATACATTTAAATATATAAAAATTATTTTATAATATATAATAATATTACTATATAAGACTTATAAAACATATAAAACATTGCTTTAATTAATTAATTTACTGTAAATAACTTTTGGAAGTTAAAATAAAATAATTTTATATTTAAATTAAGAAAAAAATGTGTTTATTTATTTCTGTATTTTATAATATATTCTTATAAATAAAACTAAATTTTTTAAAAATAATTTTTATCATCATTAATAATAGGTTCAACTATGGGGATAAATTGTTTTATCATCTTTTATCATTATCATTATCATGAGCCGTAGACTATAATAGGAATAAATTAATTTGTATGATCATCATCACAAACAGTAGTTTGTATCATCATCGTTATCACTGGAATAAATGATATTTTATCATTTACAAATAATTTAATTTTTAAAATTATTCGCTATGCTATATTATAAATATTTTTTTAAGATATCTAAAAAAATGTTATATTTTTCAAACATTTTAATGAGAAAAGTTGTAAGATTTTCTTATATTCTAATCTAAAAACCATAAATTTAAAACGCAATAGATTTAATAAATTTATTTAAATATTTTAAGATGATTTTCTTGTTTCCTAATATCAGTTTATCTTAAAAAGACATGTTTTACTTTTGAAAAACTTTAAACGGTAATCCCTTTAATATACTGTAATACCAATTAAATTGACAGTTAAATATATTTTTATATCCTCCAAGTAAATGTTCCTTTTTATTTTTAGACACAAAAAAAAATCAAAAAATACATTTATAATGATCATTCACACAAAACATTTTTCTAGTGAATTTTTTGGAATTTGGCATAAAATTTTTAGATATACTTTTTTAAAATTAATTTTCTTATTTATATAGAGCATCATCTATATAATCCCATCAAATAAACGGAAAAGAAAGGAAATGAAGATGAACATTAAGTGATAGTTAAGGAAATAGAATGGATAAATGCATTATTCATTCTTTTTTTTTAAATATTATTTAAGTTGTTTGATAAACTGAATAATATGATAAATGATAGAGAGAATTATAAGAGAGATGTTGGAAAAAGTTAGAAAAAATACTTTTTTTTTTTATAAAAATAAAAATGAATAAATTTTATATACTTTAGACATTTATTACAGTTCATGCCAAATTTTTAACAAGTTATCCTATGAATAAAGCATTTAAAAAGTGTTTTTCGAACTTGAAATTTTGAATAGAGTTTTATTCTTAAATAATAAATTTTTTAAACGATAAAATTAATAAATTTATTAAAGTTTAAGGTTATTCTATATAAACGATTTGATTAAATCAAACATGTAATCTCTGCAAGAAACGATACTATTTTATAATTAAGAAATTTTAATAATGTATAGATGTTTATTATAAAATAATTAATTTATTTATTAAAAATTAAAGCATGTTTTGCTGTTTTATTCTGCTTGATTAAGTATAAAAGAAGTGGAAACTTAACACTATTTCAAAAATTAAAAATTTTAGTTCATAAATTTATAATATTTATAAATAAATATATAAAATATATATTTATATAATAAATTATGCTTTATTAAAAGTAATCAATCACTTTGCTACCGCATTGACGCTTAATTATCATAAAAAATATTTTCAGATTTTGTTAAGTGCTGCCACCTGTTGCATATTTTATAATTTTTTTTAATATATTGTGCAGTATATCTAAACTTTACATACAGCAAATAAAACGTTTCTAAAGAACGTCGCACAATGTGAATGCAATTCGTAATTAGTTCTATTTAAAATCGATTTTAAATCGTTTGAAAGGCAAATCACGTAAAAATTATAAAATTGCGCATGTTTCTTGCACTGTTTTTACTTGTTCACTTTAAAAAATGCGATATTGGCGATAAGATTATTCATTAGTATATTGCAATTTATCCGTTTAAAATCACGTAGGTTGCATGTACTTTTAATCTATAATTTTCTCAATTATAGAAACTCGTAAATGGATTAGTATTTATTAATAATCAACATGTTTCGTGTAACATGAATGCTTAATCAGATTCGATATGAAGAAATTATGTTAAACGTCAGTCTCAATCTTGTTTTTTATTCATCCACCCGTTAAAGCGCATAATATTACATTGAGAGCTCCATTGGTAGATCTCGATCTACTTGTTGAAAAACTAATACACATGCTTGTAATGTACAGATTTTCGATCATAATCTTTTATAAACAGATTAATATGAAATGATATGTTTCGTGTAATATTAATTTATTCTAAATACCAAACTCATTCATTTCTTAAAATAATATATTTGTTAGTGATAAAGTTAGGAGTTATTTGTTGGATCGCGATCTACTCGTTGATATTCTTATAGTATATTTTTAATTTATGGCTTTTGAACCATGAATGATTAATAACAATGCGGTTTATGTAATGTTAACATTTAATATTACTTAATTATTTCGAACTAATTAAACATTAACCCAAATTTTATTTTTTACATATATCCTAGAGAGATGAGTTAGTAGATCGCGATCTACTTGTTGAAAATACACAACATATGTTTTTAACATATGGCTTTTCTCAACTATGGAATTTCATAAATCGATTATTAATAATTAATATGTTCATGTAATATTAACGCAAGTGAAGAAATAATGTTAAATTACCATAAAGGATCATGTTTTGGCAGCTTGTCAGACGTTCAAGTAAGGAATGCATTATCGTGTCATGTCAGTGTGTCTGTGCATTTTGATCGATGTTTTATGTTAAAGGTATGAATACGTTGATAGATGTGACAGGGTTATTAATTATCTTATAAATGAACAGTGTTTTACACCTAATAACTTTGACATTTTCTGTTATAAGCTTATGAATATCTTATGAATAACCTTTTGTTAATTAATATATATTGGATTAATATGAAAGAACAACAATATTTTAACTAACAAGTAAGAACAGTTACATAGACGACCGTTTAAATGCTGTACTTAAATTTGTAAAAAAAATATTTATTATTGAACATTATTTAACAATAAATAGTATTTAATAATAATAATCTAATTATATTTTAAAATTAATTTTAATTAAATTCTTTTTGAAGCATTAAAAAATCCTTAGAAGATAGATCTCAATCTATTGAGAATTTCACGTTTATATTCCTCATATACTTGTAGAACTTTTAAACCAGTAAAACGAATATAACTTTTTAAAATATAGTTCAGTATCTGTTGCAGTTTATCTATTTTTTTTTTTTTTAAGAAATATGGAATAATTTATCGCAGAATTATTAGAAATGAAGTAAATTTACGTATTTTTTAAAATAAACATTAATAATCTCTTTAGTTAAGTAAAGAATGAGGAAAACTTAATTACTAATTTATATTTTTATGACAAAAACAAAACAGTTTATGATCTTCGACACGCAACAAATAAATTTCAACAAAATTGGATACATTTCAATGAGAAAAAAAGG